TCCAGAATTTAAAAATATTGAAGAGTATTATTTATTTCATTTTAGACCAGAAATACTTTGTCATGACTAGCTCCAGTCTGCAGACCCATGTAGGAAACCACCACTATAACACATGGTTTTGCAGTTTTATTTGGACACTTAATTTTCCTTGAAAATTCTAGGAAGTACATGATGCCCAGTTTTTGTGTTAGTTATGACACAAAAACTGGGCAGCATGCACTTCCTCATGATTCATCAGAGGCCCATATATCTTGTATCATAAGTTGTGAGCCCTTCCAAAAATCCTGTTCCCGGACACTACATATGCTGTCAGCTCTTTGGCCGCATGCTCTTCTTTTCCAGAGTCAGACTCTTCAAACTGAGGAGATGAAAATATCACCTGCAGCCCTGTGTCCTTCAGAGTCTTCTTCAGCCACTGGCGTTTCCTAGGTTTCTTCTCGTTGTGTAATTTGTTCTCATATGCATCAACTAAAATATGGGGTTGCTAAATTATAACAAACTCTACATCAGGCCTCAGAACACATTCCAGAAAGGGAGTGCCAACAATTAGCAAGGTGAGGTCTGCAGATCTCCCAACCCATTAGCAGAATCACCAACCAAGAGGGCCAGCCTGTGGCTCACTTGGGAGACTGTGGTGCTGATAACACCAAGGCCACAGGTTCGGATCCCTATATAGGGATGGCTGGTTGCTCACTTGGGAGAGCGTGGTGCTGACAACAACAAGTCAAAGGTTAAGATCCCCTTACCGGCCATCTTTAAAAAAAAAAGAATCACCAACCAAGGAAATGGAGTCTTCTGAGTTGGGAAAAAGGACTCTGTGCACCTGCTGGCATCAATGAATCCTCTTTAGTACTTCATAATGAGTTATCTTCACGATCGTGTCAGGCTGGAATTGTCCTCCTATACCCTGGTAAGGAGTGATATTTAGTATGATGGTGACGAAGACCTTTCTATCATGATAATGCTGAACTTTCGCTATGAAAAACAATCAACATTAGCAAGAGAAGAGATGGTTTACCTTGATATATTTCACCAGGATGGGGTTGGGACTGACCCTCAAAATCTTAAGTGTCTTGCTTGCTTCTGTAAGATAGATCAGGACCCTTCAGGAAT